TCTATCGTCTCCGATTGCAACAGCACAGCCATCACCCCGGAGAAGCACTGTATGAAGGCCGCCTGCAGAAACCTGGGTGTAGGCCATTCCCTCATCTAGAGGTGGGATGTTGCATTGTCCAGAGTCATTATCTCCGATTGCAACAGCACAGCCATCACTGCGGAGGAGCACTATATGAAGGCCGCCTGCAGAAACCTGGGTGTAGGCCATTCCCTCATCTAGAGCTGGGATGTTGCATTGTCCAGCGCCACTATAACCAACAGCACTCCCATCACTCCGAAGAAGCACTGTACGAAACCCGCCTGCAGAAATCTGGGTGTATGCCATTCCCTCCTCCAAAGCTGGGATGTTGCACTGTCCATGTCGATTTTCTCCGATGGCAACAGCACTCCCATCACTCCGAAGAAGCACTGTATAATGGTTGCCTGCAGAAACCTGGGTGTATGCAATTCCTTCACCCAAAGGTGGGATGTTGCATTGTCCAACGGTATTATAACCGATGGCAACAGCACTGCCATCACTCCGAAGAAGCACTGTATGACTGTTGCCTGCAGAAAACATTGCTCGAAGCAAGGCCAATTTGATCTAAGATTTGTAGCGTGGTTCATGGCCCGTGGGCTTTTTACATCATGTCATATCAGTCATATCCATATCATCATTCAGATTCATGTCACAAGCATAGGAAACCCAGGGTTCTGATAAATCATGATTAATCTACTGGTTTCCTGCATGTGTTGAAATACACTCCGAAACGCGTCAGCTTGGAACTGGTCATAACTGGCGGCGAGTGGCACACCACTGAAGCCCCACAGGCGGCCATCCCTGCTTATCTGATTCATGACTTACCCGGAAGCATGATGAAAGATATGAAGCATATTGGAAATGCGTGGGGTCAACAACCTCATGGCTGCAGTGCCTTTGGAGCTCAACAAAATCACTGTAACAGATGTCGTGGGAGCCTCGCAGTGTCCCGACTTCAAGACAATTCCGGCAGTTCAGACTTGAAGTTTGGGTCCGGCAACACATGGTCGAGAATGGGAACCTTTCAAAATATGATAGATATAACTAGTTTTAGCAACCCAAAAAAAACAGATAAATTAATCACATAAGATCTAAGGGTAATAAACCTGATGTGACTGGTAGTACCCTCCAATTGGATCCAATTGGGTATGGTTGACATCACTTTACCCCACCCACCCCGCCAAAAAAAACATATGTAGGGTTTTACTTTACAATCAACCCCAGGGTGTAAAGAGAAAAAAATAAAACATAAAACATGTTGTTTATGTCTAATGTTTTCTTCAAAAATACCTTCTGAAAATCTGACATAGCGAAAATAAATTGAAAGAGGGTGAATTTCTATGTGCAAGATGTAACAAATTACCAGAGGGTACTCCAATTCTTCATTATTCATCCATCTGTGCAAAATATGTTTTTCATTAACCATGATTAACCATTACCAGTAGTACCGCGCAAGGCGGTGGCGGAAGATTCAAAAATAGGAAACCTATAGGAGAGATTGGTCGTTGTGAATCAGGGATGGCAGAGCGAAGCCACTAATGGACCGAAAGGTGCTTGAGGTCTCCTCTCTTTCTCTCTCTCTTTCTCTGACTATCTATCTATCTATCTATCTATCTGTCTATCTATCTATCTATCTATCTCGCTGTCTCCCTATGTATTTGTCTATCTGTCTATCTGTCTATCTGTCCATCTGTCTATCTATCTATCTACCTATCTACCTAGCTGTCTAGCCATCTATCGATCTGTCTATCCGTCTATCTGTCCATCTGTCTATCTATCTGTCTACCTATCTATCTAGCTGTCTAGTCATCTATCTATCTATCTATCTATCTATCGATCTATCTATCTATCTATCTATCTATCTGCGAAAACCAAGCTATTATGCGAGATGTCTTCATTTCAAAGTTGACAACATCAAAAACAAAGCAATTCTGCGAGACTTCCCCAATGTTTGAATTTAACGCCTTCAAAAACGAAGCAATTCTGCGAGACCTCTTCATTTTTCAAAGTTGACAACATACAAAACGCAGCAATTCAGCGAGACTTCCTCAATTTTTGCATTTGACAACATCAAAATCAAAGCAATTCTGCGAGACTTCCTTCAAAAATGGAAAGTTGAGTGCAGCGCTGACAGCCTCGTACCAATGCGTTTTGCGATTTTTCCACTCCACCTGTCTAAAGTATTGCGCCTGCCACGAAAAATTGATGCCAGGTCATACGAAGTGCTGCACCTGTCACGCAAAATCACCTTAGCAAACCTACAGATCTGATGCTCCAAAATGCAACCCCGCTCAGGAAATCAGCGCCCTGACCTCCTAACATCTCTCATGAACATGTCTTTTGTACTGCGCCTGCCACGGAAAATGCATCTTTGCAGATCCTCTTCAAAGGTCCCACGCCTGCCATCGTTTTTGGAAATGCGACGAAACCCTCACGTTTTGCTCACTTTTGACAAGATGCACAATCCCTTGCGCCTGCCAAAAGTGGTCCGCACCTGGTGTGTTTTGTGCATTTTGACTTGCAAATGTGCTTCGCGCCACAACAGCGTGCACTTTTTCGACATCTCAACTTCCAAAAGTGCTCCGAGACCCAGGTGTTTTGTACATTTTGACTTGCAAATGTGCTTCGCGCCACAACGGCGTGCAAGTTTTCATCTCTCATCTGGCCAGCTGGCTCCGCACCCGCCGCTTTAGCGAGCCTACCTTTCGACCCTCCGGAGCCCCAAACCATTGGAAAAACACAGTGTTTCGCGACTTTCCGACCTTTTCTCGCATCTGCATCTTCTTTCTTCTTACTCTTTCTCTTCTACCCTTCTTTCTTCTAATCTTTCTCTTCTCTCTGCCACTTCCCTTCTCTGCTTTTCATCTGTCCATATTGTCGGAAGTTTGACTTCTAAACTTCCTTCGATAAATGTATAAATACATATTCAAAATTAAAGTTTGCAAAACTGGGCCATGACATGTCTCATGTGAAGTTTGGAAGTTTTTGAAGGCATGAATCATCGTGGCTGAAGTTCTTCATATCGTTGTTCCTACATTTTCCTGCTTTTTCCTCTGAAATCCGCTCCTGGCTTCGCCTCAAAGGCTGTAGTGGCGGAAGTCCACTGAACGATGGCCTCTTCCAACAGCTCCTGCGCAGCTGTTGAGATATGGTGACTTTAATTTAGAGTCTATGATTAACGGCTATCATCAATAGAACAACTCGGGACATATAGTTATGTCTCATAATTTTCATCTTAATATTTTGTGAAGATGTTAATGTAATATGGTCAATCGTAACCATTATCAATATGAGATTCCATCGGATAATAGAAAAAAACTAAACACTTGTTAACTATATATAATTAATAATAGCTGGATAAAACATGTCTATTCAGATTCCTATTGAAACAATCATACATGGCTGTGGCATATTTGATAAATACAATGAAAAACTGCGCTGGTTCTTCGCTGTCTTTTTCTTCGGATATTCTCTGAACAAGTGGGGCATGTTCATCACGTTTGAGATGTCCAGCACCTCCATAGTTCATTTTCTGTGTGATCTGATAATCTAATCTTCCTCCACATTCCTCCATGAAAATGGATCAAAAATCTACCGATCCAACCTATCCTTGTGAGCACAACGGCCAGCGTTGTCCACAAAGCGCGGGTCCTGACCATCACTGGACTGCCCAAAATCAGCCACGATTTGAAGGGAGAATTCAAATTCCCCAAAATGGATCGACATCATCGAAATTGGCAAATTTACTGTACCAACTCTTCTAAATATCTCTAAATCGTTAACTGTTTGATCACCATGGTGATGTATGGTGAATGAGCGCCCCAGCAATCCGGGACTATCACTGTGCCTCCGCTAGCTCCGCGCGGTCCATGGCCTTGGCCCCAAGGCTATGGCATCTTTTTTTTTGCGGGGGTTACTATATGTTACTATATGGGAATATGAATGGGAATATATATATATATATATGAAAATGATGTACGGGAATATTCATGGGACATCATATAGATGTACAAGTATGCTAATATTTGTTTAAATGCGGGTGACATAATGGGGATGCAATATATGTTGTTGAATCTCCGCAGAAACCAATGTAAAAAGAGGGGATTCAAATACTTATAAAAAATTGGGAACATGGAATAGGGATGTTGAGTATGAACGGGGAATTTGATTAGTAACTGGTAACTGGGGTTGTAATGAGTAGCGTTTCCACAGACATACGGGATATGTACCAAGCAAGGTTAGCTTCGCCAGTTACAAGTGGGATCACCCAGGAATTGCTAAATTGATCTAAATTGGGGACTTAGAAACCGAGGTAATTAACCACCTATGATTCGTGGGATGAACCACCAACTAAATAATGGTCAAAAAGGAATGTCAGCTCCAGATTTTATGATGAAAGCGGTTGTCCCTTCATCACAGGTGACTATACATATATGTATAAATGTATATATATATAGTATACAATAAAATTATATAATATACATTCTACTCTCCAATGGTTCCAAGCCAATGGCTTGATTCATCAGGGGTTGAAGCGACTGAACTTTCAAGTTCGGCACCTTCATCAAGCGCTTGAAGAGGGAGTCGCCATTGGCACCGATGATCATGAAGGTTCCATCCTGTCGCCAAGGGATGTCAGAATGCCTAAGGCAGCTTAGGCTTAGCCCTACGGTGTCATCGCCAAGCCTTGCAGGGATAGGTCCCGGTTGGAACAATGCCCGTGAGGGAAGAACCCGACCTTGGTGCCATGTTTTCAAGTTATATACATGCTATATTAAGGTGGTGATATAGATAAGTCCCTGCCAGTATTGATCCTATGACTGGGAATAAGATGCAACGTCTGACTATGGCAAGTTGTTTCTATTCATTCTGTTGACTAAGTTCGATAAATGGACTTCCCACCATACACACACTTCACGCATGAGCTTCCTAGACCACATGAGTCGATCATACTAGATCCACTGCATGGGCTTGTATGAAAAGTAAATACCCCCAAACCCATTGGTGAATCATCATTGTTCCTAGGCTATTTACAGGTTGTGACCTCCATTTTCAGACACACCCAAGTACCAAATTCTCACATTAATGTTGGTACATCCCATGGCTGTTTCCATATGTCATCACTATAGATTCATGATCCCCAATTTCGATAGTTCTGGGTAATTTAAGCCGTATTTATATATATATATATATATTTATATAGCCATCTGTAAGGCCATCTTAAAGGTCTTCAATCATATTTCTTTCGGTCATACCTTGGGATACGCGACTCGCGACCAGCGACGGCTGCCGGACTTCCCCAGCAAAGTCGTACTCCGGGACCATGGCCTGGACGCAACGCTGTGAGGACATGGCGGCAACAAATTTGATTGGTTGATATATATAGTTCATGCTATGAAGATACACATTATTTACTCCTGTTCAAACCATATATGTGTTTAAATATGATATATATATATATTATATATATATGTGTGCCTATATTATATTATGTATATATATAACCATTGAGAATGTATACTGATATTGGTAAGAAAATTTGATTTGGGTGTGTCTCAAATTGACCCACCAGTTATAGCCATTGCATTTACGGGTATCCTATTCTCGAACAAAGCCATCTGGCGGAACTCATCCAGAATTCACCAAGCTGAACAAACATGTCTTGAATTCCAGTTAAACAGTTATTCACCGGGGAAAACTGCAATATTTGATTTCGGGACGATTCCCTCTACTACACCTCTATTGCGCGGTCGGCAAGTTAGCTTGCCATCATTCAGCGAGATCTATGTTCCATGTTGTCAAACATGCCACCCAGAAAAGCTGTAAGAACTTCAGCACTTTGAGATGTTTTTACTCATTAAATTTGGGTTTCGCACTTACATCTCTGGGTATTCAATAAATACCTCAATGAACAACTACAGATGTACAACTGTCAATTGTATCACTATCATTCACTACATTGAAATCACACACTTCATACATGTCAATATCATTTTATGCTAGATTTTTTTGAAAAAATCTATATGTTTCTATATCTATTGTTCTATATTTATAGAATTTCTATGTTTTTTTAAATTAATGGTTTCTCTATGTTTTTCTATGGTTTTCCCTGCTCAAAAACGCATCAAAACAACCACCGACCAGGTCGTAACGCGCGCAACGCGCCTCCAAGAGACCAAGGACGCTCTCGGCGATGGAGGCATCCACCGTTTGACCTAGGCCAGTCACCACGCCTCCATCGCCTTGACCTTGGTGGAACGGGGGATGAAGAACCATCCGAAATTGGTGGAAAAAATAGGGGTTATATATATAATAATTATTATTATTATTATATTAATAATAATAATAGTAATAATAATAATGACGATAATAATAATGAGTAGCACTGAACAATATATATATATTATAACAATAAAAATAATAATAATAATAATAACAATAGTCATAATAATATTCACAATCATCATAATAGTAATCATCATAATAATGATATTTGATTCAACAGATTACTATATATAAGGTCTACCAAGTTTACCATTTTTCTGGGTGGGATTGAAACCATCAATTGATATGGGTGGAGCTAATGACATTGTGTTGCTAACATTTGGAGCCTCATGTTTTTGTAATCCTTTACGGTTTGAATGATTTGTTTCATCTCGAAGCACTGTTCTGCAAATCAGATCAAACCAGGATATTGTTGTTTATTGCGGTTCGTTCTGCAAAGCGGGTGTTCACATAAAGATCAAACATTTTCCTCAACAATAGAATGCAATATATCTCCAGCTGCCAGCTGGCACCTGGCGTTTATAGACAGATAACCGTATCATAACCATATCCACAAAATGGATACCTTTTGTATCGACTGGGCGATCTATAGCATTGCCATCTCTTCAAAGGCGGCTCCCAGTGTCTCTTACTTACCCTCCAGTAAACAAAGATAGCTACGGAACATGGCCCAATTATGGGTCATGTACCTGGAAAAAAAGAAGTGATTTCCATAGCTATGTTAGTTTGCCAGAGGGTACTGTCACTATTTAAGGGGTAACACTCCCTCAAGTAATCAGCGAGCGTATATGGATCCGGGGATGACATTAACAAAATGGGGGGGGGCTGATCGGCTGCTTTTACTTCTGGATAAGCATCCCTTTTGTGGGAACAGGCGCTTGATAAATCATGGAACTCAAATAGTATTGTTGAGCTTTAATAGTCTGCAGGTTCACCCTCAACATCTTGGATTTCAGAGATTTGTTTGAACATGTTGAAGGCCATTGTCAATCTTAGATGCCCAGTACCCAGCCAAAAATAACGCTCAGCAGGGCACCACATATTCCACCATTTCAGTCAGAACATGAAGCTAAATCCTAATATAAGATCTCAGTATCTGGCCATATCATATCCATACATATCCTTGGTCAGTTGACCCAAAGATCCCCATGCTTTGTTTGGCTATATCATATCCCTGATATTCGTTGATGAACCTCCCATGGTGGGTTGACGGGCCTGCCTCACCCACAGTCACCACACGGTCACCCGGATTTTTTCTTTCGCTGCGAGATGGGTGGTGGCCAGGCTAAGTGGTGAGCAGCAAGTCTCGAAGAAAATGAAATCTGTCTGACTCATTTCACCCCTTCACTTGCTGGTGAAGTATCATCACTCTCTCTCTCTCTCTCTCTCCCCCTCTCTCTCCATCGCCTTCTCCAAGAGTTCAGCTAAGCTAAGGGCGAGTGAAAACAACCATCATTACTGTGATAGTTTTTTTTGGTGAGTCATTTGGCTTCAAAGGCTGGGTCTGCTCTTATCATTGATTCCCATTTCATCTCATATGTTTTGTCGCTAAAATATTGCAATTGACTGGGAAAAACTGACGCTGATTTATTGTATGTGATTGATGTAGTACATTAATTGTAATCCTTAGTCTACTTCTGGCTTTGACTGACATTCTCATCAATGATTTCCTGTGAGCAAGTTTAAAATACATTATATAATTACTAGGGGCATTTCGCTCACCACTTCAGCTAGTCCCATTGCCCACCTAAGACATTCCGTAGGGTTGCTCCCAACACCCCAAAATACCATGGCGTGAAACTGGGTAGATAAAAACATGTTGCTTACCTTGCGAGCCTTTGTGGCTATCATTTACCTACAATGGGTTGGAGCAACCCTGTTCCAGGTTCGATTTTTCGAGCTGTCAATGATCTTAGAAACAATGGCCGACCGATTAGAGCTTCAACTTGGTAACAAACTCTGACTTACTCCCTGAAACATGACCTGAAAATTCCTCTCTCAAAAAGGCTGGAAAACGTAAATTGATACATAAATCAATGCCTGTTTAGGAAAATGCTGTAAGTGCATGTAATTGAGCCAGGAATCCAATAACACCATGTATGCCAGACTCCAGGTTACTTGCAGTGACGTCCCTGAGCATCTTTTCAATCTCAGAATGCTCTTTGGTAATCCAAAGAAGGCAATGGACAACCACATCCGAAATTCAGTGGACGTGCTCATCATGGCCCCGTCCCTAACCACCACGATGCGCGAAGCGTTACTACAACCCACTTGGCTGTTCAAGGACGGCCTTGCGCAAGAATTGCATTGATAAAACACCCATTGTTTCAAAGTTAAATTGGTATAAGTATGTATAAGTGATATTATATGAGACCATGCTCAAAAAGGTATGCATTTGCAGTCATTAGCAGGGTTACGGTTACCAAGTCTATATGTATAACATCACCTATCAACTGGGATGCTCAGGTATAGCCCCCGAATGCCCCCGACCAAGTTGATGCAAACAGTGGTCCATGCAGCACATTGATGGCCTGAACACGGCAGGTGCCCTGCACGCGAGGAATCTTCATAAATAACTGGTCTCTACATCCATATTGACATATTGGTTATATTGGGGATATCATAGGTATATAATTGGACAACTCAGGACCACATTTCCGGACCAGCACACCAAGTGGGATTGAGAATGTTTGGATTAACTTGTATGGGACAGATCAGATAGTGGCTGGTGCCACACACTTATGGGACTTGAACCAAAATTCCCGCACAACTTTACACCCCCCAAAAAGTTAGACATCATTCCAGGCGGGATTCCAAACGCGCACTGCTTGGCACTGCCCGCAACGAACTCAGATGCGTTTCAACCAGTCGCCCTCAGGAAACACCATTGCAGCTTCCAACATTCCCGCGGGCCACGACCTCGGATTCGCATCGAAGCCACAAAATGTTCGCAGCCTGAATCGTCCCATGGTGAAGTTGCGTGAAAATGACAATGAAGATGGGGAACACATGGGATAAAGATGGGATAACAACAGGATATAACATGGGATAATCAGGGGATTTAATCATCAACAATGGGAATAAACATGTGATTACTGGCTTATGATCATCCATCCCATTTCGTGAAAATCATGAAAACATGGGGGTATTACAACCCCCTACAAAACATGAGTTGATGAGCGACCCTGATGGGGTTTCTTCGGATTCACCACTCGCTTCCAGCCCAGCAGAATCTGGGCTGGAAAGCCTCCCCAAATCCTATAAGGTGGACCCACCTTAAGCATGGCTAAGTTGGCTTAGTTCACTAGGTTACCTATGGTGATGGGATTTCAAAGAGACATATCATAGCTAAATGATGTTAAATTGGGTTTAAAGACAAATTTAAATAAATTTTACACAACTAGGGCCACCACCTGGCACCACTTACCCTTTCATTTGGAGGCCACAAATTTGAACATGGGATTCAAAAAATAACCATATCCAACCATCTTTGGGGTTCCATCTTACATTTAGATACAGATGATCTTCCAAGGTATCAACTAATGAAGGTCTAATGCCTTGGGTGATTTGGGGTATGCCCGCTTTTGGGAAACCTCCATACCCCATTAAATTTCCCCAATGATGTCCCCACGTGTTAATGAAATTGTCAATAGTCCCTTAAGTTACGCCCCATATCATATCACATGTAGCTCATGGATGTGACTTGGGTTTACAACATTATACCCACACTTCTACATGGTTTGTCATATGTCATTCAACAAATACTATTGAATCATCATATGCGAAATTATTTAAGAACACCTCCGCTGTTCATGGATGTGAATGGGGTGTACAGTAAAAGGCCAGTCATCCCAGTGGGATGATTTTCACATGCCCCGTTCTTGGACATTGCATCTAAAAATCAACCAGTGGGGAATATTGACCACATACAATCCATTACACTCTGGTAATTTAACATAGGCATGGAAAATCACCACTGTTAATAGGTTGTTAATTTTCCAGAGCTATGTTAAATTACTAGAGGCTAATTTCACCCATGCTTCGGATGTCCAAGTCCTCCGAGTCCTCCAAGTCCTCCAAGTTGCTGGTGATAGATCAGCCCCTTGGTCACCGGCCCCGGCTCCATCGGTAAAACGCTGACCACTGAGCGGCGATAGACGCCCACCTGCGGCGTCGTGGCTTCAACGGGATCATCCCGTGGCTTCATGGGGGTACCCCAATAGCTGGAGGGTTTTTGTTGGGGAAAATCCATCTATAAATGGAGAACTGGGGGTCCCCCTATGACTTAGGAAACCACCAAAAAAATAGATCCATTTGTGGGACAGAAACATGAAACACAGGATGAACGCTTCATGATTGTATCCAAACATGTTTTTACGTCTGTTGGTCAGTACCTCGACGACATCCAAAGCCAGAATCAATAGAAACCAAGCTTCGCAATTCACATGTGCAATTTCAAGTTTAAGCATAATTTGCGATAACCCGGCTGGGTCTGACTCATTTCCACCCACTGGTTGACCGTCATTTTCCCTATAAACGGCCATTTGGGGAGCTGAATGCCCCTTTGCGAACACGCCAAAAACATAAGGTTGCTTACACACATATATATATAATGACGAGCACATCTAAATATATATATATATATGCACATATATATATAAATATATTCATCTATATATTTGATCTATATCTATCTATATTTGTCTATATCTATATCTATCTCTATCTATCTATCTATCTATCTATATCTATCTATATCTATCTATTTATATCTATCTCTATCTATATCTATCTCTATCTATATATATCCCTATATAAATATATCTATATCTATCTATATCTGTCTATATCTTTCTATTTCTATATATATCTATATCTGTCTATATCTATCTAAATCTATCTATATCTATCTATATCTATATGTCTATCTATCTATCGATCTATCTATCTATCGATCTATCTA